GACATGGGAGCTACGGCAGGCCTGTGAACAAGGGGGAGTGAGTTGGTCCACTCAAGGGGTGGCCGGTTGTGGAGACCCGCTGATGACTTTTCCCCTACTTCCTCTTTCTGGGCCTCTCAGCTTCCTCTCCACCCAGCTTTCACTTCCTCCCTCCCCCTGCCTTTCCCAAGCCCCTCCATGTCTTCCTGGTGCAGGGATCATCTGTGAGAGGGGGCAGAGAGGCTGGGCCTGGGGGCCTGAGGGCCATTGGCAGCAGTGGGTTGGGGTGAGAGAGGGTCCTGCCACCCCCTCCCTCAGTCTCTTCCTGTCTGGGAGCCACAGTGGGCGGGGTATGAGTGGCGGTGGGGCTGCCTTTGTCACCAGCCTTGTGTGTGCAGAAACCACTGAGGCTGAGACTTGGAGACACACACACACACACACACACACACACACACACACACACACACACACGCAACCTCGCCTTGATAGACACCTGGATTGCCGTATATCCCAGGATAAGTGGACTGTGTGCAGTCACAGTTGCACAGATCTAAACAGACACAGCATCACCCCATCCCATAAACACAGCCCAGCCCCGCAGCAAACTCTGTTAGGACATGACACCAGTCAAAGGAGCCACACAAATAGATTCCATAGGGTCACCTCGCACCAGACATGGCTCCAGGCCGTGTCACACAGACACAGAGCAGAGCATCAGAGCCCCGTCAGGAAATGAGGCCCCCTAGCCCCCGCCCCGCACTTACACAAACATCCTCCATGGGTCATGGTCACCGTGTGACCTGCCAGAGCCCCACCCACGCCACCCATGGAGCTGACACATGTCACAGTCCCAGACCGAGGCTGAGGCCGGTCCTACGCACTGTCTGACAGCTCTCTGTCCCTGCCTAGGGAGCCCCACATGGCCCCACAGCTGGCCATGCTCCCATCATATCCGGGGGTCCCTGTCACACCCTGGGGTCCCCCATCACCCTGAGGGTCTCCATTAGACCCTGGGGTTCCCTTCAACCCCTGAGGTCTCCAGTCACCCTGAGGGCCCCCATTACACCCCAGGGGCCCATATTTAGCAGTTTGTAGGAACACCCCTCCCCCCCAGAGGTCTTGAGGTCCGTTCAGGCCTTGGGAGCACGAATACTGGCTTTGTCCGACTCCTGCAGTGAGGTTCCGTTGGCAGGGGTGAGGGTGCTGGGCAAAGCAGGGCGGGCTCAGCACCTGTGTTGGCTGTGTGTCCTCTGCCCTGCCCCCCTCCCCTCCCCTCTGCACCCCAAGCCCTCTGGGTGGCCTGGCCCTGACCCAGTCAGGACACGCCTGCCCTGCCCTGCCCTGCCCGCCTGCACGGGCTGACCGCAGGGCAGGGGGTTCAGGGTGCCCTGCTCCCTCCTGGCCGCACCCCTGCTCCACCTCTGCGGGCATCAGCCAGGGGCTTTGGGGGAAGTTGTGGGGGGGGAGCTTGGGTTCCGGCTGGAGCCTGGGCTTCCTGTCCGGCATGACAGGAAGCGGCCCCGGCCAGCTAAGTCTTCCTGCCCCCTAGAGGGACCTGTGGGGACCAGGGCAGGGCGGGGTGGGGGAGGGCACCCCACTTCCCGCATCTCCACAGGCTTGTCTCGGCTGTAACTGGGCAGGTATCCTCTTGTGCTGTGCGTGTGATGTGTGTGCAGCGTCGGGGGCCCGGCGCCTGTGGCCTGGCTGGCATTGTCATTTCAGGGTGTGCGTCTCCAGCACGTGTCTGGCTCCGTGTGTGGCTGTGATGAAGGCTGGGGCCTTTCTGTGGCTCTCTCCTGGCATTGATTGCTGTGTGTGTTTGTGTGTGTGTTCTCAGCATCTTCACAGTTCTCTGGGTGTGAACTTCTGCATTCTCAGTGTCATTTGTATCATTTGTACTTGAACTCGAGGTGCTTATTGCATGTATTCTTGGGTCTGTGAGAAAGATGATATTTGGGGAAGCTAGTGTTATATGTTTTACTTCTTTTTTTTTGTCCTGGGGCTTGAACTCTGGGTCTGGGTCCTGTCCCTCAGCTCTTCAGCTCAAGGCGAGCGCTCTACTATTTGAGCCACATGGAGTTGTCTCATGGACTTTCCTGCCTGGGTTGGCTTTGAACCGCGATCCTCAGATCTCAGCCTCCTGAGTAGCTAGGATTACAGGTGTGAGCCACCAGCAGCTGGCTTTCTCCTTTCTCCTCTCTCTCTCTTTCTCCTCTCTCGTATGCATTAGTACTTGGCTTGAACTCTTGCCTTCAGTCCTCTCTCTCTCTTTTTTTGGTACGCTGACCATGGGGCTTGAAATCACAGGCCAGATGCTGACCCTGAGCTTTTTTTCCTCAAAGCTGATGCTCTACCATTTTTTTTTTAAATTTTTATTTTTTTGGGTCCGGTCATGGGTCCTGAACTCTGGGCCTGGGCGCTGTCCCTCAGCTCTTCAGCTCAAGGCTAGCGCTCTACCACTTGAGCCACAGCACCACTTCCAGCTTTTTTCTTTTTGCTTATGTGGTGCTGAGGCAGGCATGCAAGGCAAGCGCTCTACCACTGAGCCACCTTCCCAGCCCTGATGCTCTACCATTTGAGCCATAGCTCCATTTCCATTTTTTTTTGGTGGTTCATTGGAGACAAAAGTCTCATGAACTTTTCTGCCCCAGCTGGCTTCAAACCTCCATCCTCAGATCTCGGCCTCCTGGGTAACTAAGATTACAGTTGTGAGCCCCTGCTGCCTGGCTTCCCCCCCCCCCCCCCATGCCTGGGGTGCTCTACCACTTGAGCCATGCTTCTAGTATATTTTTTTTTTGTTGGTTAATTGGAGACAAGAGTCTCAAGAACTCTGCCTGGACTGGCTTCAAACCACAGTCCTCCAGGTCTGAGCCTCCTGAGTAGTTAGGATTACAGGCAGGAGCCACCGATGCCAACTGCTATATTTTTGGTGGTAATGGGGCTAAAACCCTGGGCCTGCAGCTTGCTGAGTGTTTGTCCCACTTCTGTGCCATGCCAGGTCCCCAGGTTAGAGGTGAGCTTGCTGAGCACTTGTAGAGGGCTCTGTTCTGTCTGGGCTGGGGTCTGGAGCAGGTGGAGTCTGCTGGGTGACCCCACTGTGGGCGGGGCTTCAGTGAGGGGGGCTGGGGTCCCTGGGGGGTCCCTGTCCTGTCCCATGAAGCGCCTTGGCAGCGATGTGACCAGTGCTTGCGGCGTCCCCTTGGCTGGCTGGTGCCACGCTGGCTTGGGCTGGCGGTGGCAGCGGGACAGGGCCGGGCAGGGGCTGTGGTGGGCACTGGCCCCATGCCCAGCTCCGGTATAAATATCCCCAGGCTGCTGGCTGTGTTTACTCGGCCCCGGTCCGGGGGCGGCAGTGGCGGGCAGGTCCTGGGCCACAGGACAGACATTTCCTTCTCCCAGACAGCCACGCAGCCTTCTGCCCCCTCGTGGGTGGGGACCAGACGGTGACCCTTCACTCTGGGGTCCCAGGGATCACCAGTGGAGCTCTGACCTAGACTTCCCAAGGCTGGGGAGGCAGACACGGAGGGAGGGGGCGGGGCCAGGAGGCAGCAGCGAGAGGAACAGGAAAAAATGAGGGTGAAGATGCGAGGAGAGAGGAATCACTCTGACAGTGACAGAAGCTGGGTTGTGGGGCTGGGAAGAGAAGGCAGAGATGGAGAGAGGAAGAGCGGAGGCTGGGGGGTGGCCACAGGTACTGAGACATGAGGGGGAGGGCAGTGGAGACAGACAGGACCTTGGTGACAAAGCGTAGGGTCGCCCTGGGCTCTGGTGGGGGGGGGTGAGAACGTGGGTGGGCAGGACAGCCAGGAGACACAGGGGTGGGGGCTGGACGTCATCAGAGGGGCTCTCCCTCCCTGACTCAGCCACTCCGCCCACCCCATCCCCAGCGTGTGTGCATCTGTCCCGTCTTCGTGGGGGCTGCTGTGACGGGGGGGGGGGGGGGGGGTGTCTGCAGCCCCAGCCCCATCCCCGGTCCCGTCGTCTCCACCTCCCTGTCTCCTCATCTAATCCCGGAGACCTGCCGGCCCACCTCTCGCTCAGCCTCCGCCATCTGACTAACCCCGACTGACTCAATGGCTGCCCGCGCCGCTCCTCTCCTGTTACATAACACAACAAACTCGGGGGCAGCAGAGCGGATCATAAACGAGTTTACTTAGCAGATGGCAGCCCGGGGGAAGCTGCCTGGTACTGCACAGAAAGGGGTCCTGGGAGCCCAGGGTCCATGGGCAAGGACCCCTATCTTTCTGGATTGTGGGGTTGGCCCACTGGATCGTGTCTTGGGCCAAGCTGCTGTCCTCTGGGATTTGTGGAGATGGCCGATGTGTGGGATGGGGCCTGGCCCCACGGGAAGCCTCGGGGCAGCACCTGCCTCTTCTCCTGTCTCCCACCTAAGGAAGCCAGTCCACGGCGCCACCTGGGTCCAGCTGGGGACCTGGCCTGCGGGGCTGCGCTAGGCCTCCCTGGCCACACAGCCAGGTCCGGGGCTGCTTGGAGGTAGGTCCCTGGCTCAGGCCTGGGCTGGCTTTGAACCTGCTTCTGGCAGGGGACCCAGGGCACAGAATGAAGGCCTTGGGGTCAGGAGCCGGTGTCTTTCAGGTGTGGAGCTGCCGGTCTCATAGGAGTGTCAACAGCCCAGCCTTGGCCACCCCTCGGCCTCTGCCCCCTCCCCCCCCACCTCACGAGCAGCCCCTTGTGTGTGTGGGGGGCACGGGGCATGGGAAGGTGGGACGCCTGGGTTCCCACAGGCTGAGTCACAGGCGGCCATCTGGCTCCCATTAGGCCGGGCGGCGGGGGGCTGCGGGGCGGCCCTGTGGCGGGCTGGGGGCGGGACGGGGCAGGCTGTGTGGGAGATGACTCAGGCCCATGATAACAGCCTGTGCGGATTCAGGGAGAGTAAACAGGAGCAGGAGAGGGAGGCGGAGGACGGGAAAAAAGGGAAAATTGTGGCTGGGCAGGGGGAACCCCTCCCCTCACTCCAGCTGCCTCTCCCCCCCCACCACCCCCCCCCCCCCCGGTGTGCTTCTGCCAGTTTCCTAAGGGAGAAGCAGTAGCTAGTGGCCACAGTGGGGTCCCCCTGGCGTAGTGAGGCCTGGGGAGGAGGGCAGTGGGCAGCTGGGAGAGGAATGGGACAGCGGGGCGTGGAAAGGACAGACAGACTCTAAGAGGTACAACGAGGCAGCCGGTAGACAGGTACAGAAAGGCCAGATCTGGGCTGGGCCCCAGGTGAACTGGCCTGTACCATGGGCCTCGAACAAGGGGGTAGACATTCATTCTGGGCCGGACGCATGGAGAGAATGTGACAAAGGCGTGGGGGTGGGGGGCAGAGACAGGAAAAGGGGGAGATCACAGAGTGAGACGGAGCGAGGGACATGGAAGGAGCCGAGTCACAGGGAGCACAAGACAGAGGCAGCGGGTGGGAGGGCAAAGGGGGAGGGGGAGGGAAGACGGCCCAGTGGCTGAGCAGCCATCCTGCCATCGGGGAGCTTCCTGGCCGGGGTCAGGGCTGGACAGGGCAGTGCCATGGTCAGTCTCCACCCAGCTCTGGGCTGGGCGCGTCCTCGGGCTCCTCCTCATCGAAGTACCTCTCCTCCTCGTCCCGGGCCACGATGTCCAGGTTGTCGAAGTTGGGGTTGTCGTCCACAGTGCTGCAGGGGGAGGAGGCTGTGAGGGCCCAGAGGCCCAGGTGCCTGGAGGCAGCTGCCCATCAGGTCCACACTGACCCTTGCAGGGGATGCTGGGCCTTTCTGGTCATTGGAAGGTGGGGTGATACACAGGCCTCCTCACCAGGATGGTGTTATCTCCATGGGGCGGGGTGGGAGGGGTGGGGAGGGGGCAGAGAAGGCAGGGCTGGTTGGTGACTGGTAGGGGGGAGGGACTGCCTGGCTCCAGGGTGAGGGGGTCACCCCAAGTGGCAGGCTCCTCAAGTCTAATTCCACTTCTGATCTGCCACTGGCCTCCGTGTGCAGGTGTTACCTCCGGGACCCCAGGGCACCCCGCCTCTATGCCCCGCCTGCTTCTGCAAGGCCCATCACTGGGGCATCAACACAGGGGGGCTGTCCTTCTGATCCAGGTGCCAGGACACGGCAGGCATGTGGGTCGAATGGTGGTACAAGGACATGCCGGGCTCCCCTCTCCACTGTCCTTGAGTACTGGATCTAGGGGTGGCATTGGGCCTGCTCACCTAGGTGCTCAGCCCTCTGTCCACCACCCTGTGGCTGTCCTGTGATGGACTTGGGCTGGAGGATGCGGGAGTGGGCCGGCATGCTGACCGCCATGCATTGCCACGCACCGGTCCCATGTTCCTCATGGGCCTGTGGAGGAGCCACCTGTGTGTGGCCGTGGCTTACGTGTCACTGGGGCCCCCACAGCCTGGCCCATGTTGGGGACCACTAGGTAGACTGACTGGCTTGGGGTGGAGGGGCCAAACCACTTCCCTTTGCTTCCATCACTTTCCCGCATCCCTCGGGCTACACTGGAGTCAGTAACTAAAACAGGGGGGCCTTGGGAAGAGGTGGGGTACCCTGGGCACACCAGGGGACTTAGGGTAGTGGAGGGCTGCCAAGCTGCTGTCACTCTCCAGGGTGAAACTGAGTCGATGTGAGTCCAGTTCTCACATCTTAGGGGGAAACTGAGGCAGGGCTGTGAGACTCAAGGTTGAGTGTAGTCTTCCCTGGTTCTGTCTCTGGCTGATCAAAACGCCAGGCCTGTCTGACCCCAGCACCCGTGCCTGGGAACTCTCCTGGGGCCTTCGAACACCACGAAGCGGAGCCACGCTGAATAGACACGGGACCTGCAAGGGGTCTGGGGCCGTGGGTGCTGGCCTGGGGGGGGGTTGGAGGGGGCAGGGCGCGGAGCACCTGTAGTCAAAGTCCCCGTCCTTGCCATCCAGGAAACGCTGGTGCATCCGGCTGGTGAACTCCTCCCGCAGGATCAGCCTCTCCTCCGAGTCCGGCACCCAGGCTTCTGAGTCTTTGCTGGACCTCTGGTCTGTGAAGGGAGAATAGGTGTTCCACAGGGGCTGCTGAAGGGAGGCAGTGGAGGAGGCTCCAGGCAGAGGATACCCTGGGAATGGATGCCAGGAGTGGGGATCACTCGATTCCTTTGAGGAGTGTGGTTGGGAGGGCACTGGGAAGACACTGGGGTCTGCCTGCTGCTGGCCCGCACCTTCCTTATCACTGTCCTCTTCCTCCTCTTCTTCTTCCAAGCAGGCCTCCTCTTCCTCCTGCTGCTGGAGCAGCCGCTGCTGCAGTTCGCGCTCCTGGTAGGACTGGAGCAGCAGGTCGGAGAGTGGGCAGGCAGGGGTGCTGGGGGAGCCGGGCCGGGCCGCCAGAGGGGCTGGGGCACGGGCACTGAGCTCCTCCTGGGTGAGGTACTGGCCGATGTACTGCTCGTACAGCAGTGGCGCACGGTACCTCATCTGCTCATCGCTGAAATACTCGCCCCCTGTACACAGAGGACATACAGGCAGAGGGTTGGTGGTGGTAGTGGTGTCTGAGCTGACAGGGCCCACACACGGATGTGTGATCATGCTTGTATGGCTGGGTGTGAGGGCACACACCCCTATCCCTCAGCGAACTCAGGATACAGAAACAGAAAAATTTAGGCTAGTTCATTCTAGGCTAGTTCAAGCAAAAGCGTGAGAATGCTTGCCTTGCATGCATGAGGCCCTGCGTTTGATTCCTCAGCACCACATAAGCAGAAAAAGCCAGAAGTGGCGCTGTGGCTCAAGTGGTAGAACGCTTGCCTTGAGCTAAAGAGCTGAGGGACAGTGGCCAGGCGGAGTTCAAGCCCCACAACTGACAAAAAAAACCCCAAACCAAACCAAACCAAAACAGAAATGGATAATAAAAAGGACTGGGGCTGTGGCTCAAGGCACGAGGCCCTGAGCTGGATCCCCAGTACTTCCACCCACTGCCAGCTGCTAAATCCTCTCCCCCGACTTCCTCAGGGCCTGTCTCCACCCCTCTCCCTAGTTCAATCTCATCCTCTCCATGTCTTTTTTTTTTTTTTGGGGGGGGAGGGGGTCCAGTCGTGGGGCCTGAACTCTGGGCCTGGGCGCTGTCCTTCAGCTCTTCAGCTCAAGGCTAGCGCTCTACCACTTGAGCTACAGCGCCACTTCCGGCTTTTTTCTTTTTGCATATGTGGTGCTGAGGAATCGAACCCAGGGCCTCATGCATGCAAGGCAAGCGCTCTACCACTAAGCCACCTTCCCAGCCCCTCCGTGTCTTTCTTTGTTCAAAACCTATCTCCCAACCTGGGTGCTGGTGGCTCATGCCTGTAATCCTAGCTAATCAGGAGGCTGAGATTTGAGGATGGAGGCTCAAAGCCAGCCCGGGCAGGAAAGTCCCTGTGAGATTCTTATCTCCAATGAACCACCAGAAATCTGAAAGTGGTGCTGTGGCTCAAAGTGGTAGAGCAAAAGAGCTCAGAGACAGCGCCCAGGCCCTGAGTTCAGGCCCCAAAACGGACCTAAAAAACAACCAACCAACCAAACCTACCTCCCAGGCTCTCCCCATGTGTCCCTGCTCTTCCCTCCCTGCCTCAGTCTCTCCTCTCTCCCCCTCTTGCCCAGGTGCCCTGCACACCTTGGATGAGCTCTCGCAGGGCTGCGTAGCGCCGGTTTCGTAGGCGGGTCCGTAGGGTGCGGGGCCGGGCAGTGCCCTGCCGGGCCACCTCGGCACAGTAGAAGTCTGCCCGGTGGTCACCACGCAGGTGGCCAAAGCAGGCCAGGTGCTCCTCCCGGAGGCCCGTGCGGAAGCGCTCCAGGAACACCAGTGGCTTCTCGTGGTACAGCTGGCTCAGCACGGCCACCTTCTCGCGCTCCGTCAGGTCAGGCTCGCCCTGCTGCTGGCTGCACACGGGCAGACGGCTGGCAGCCACGGCTCGTAGCATGGCATTCACTGCTGCGTTCTCAGCCCCGGGAGTGTCACTGTCCAGGGCCTCTAGAGGGCTCTGTGCCACCTCCTCCTTGTCCTGGGGTCTGGATGGGACAGGGGTCTGGCTCAGCTCCCCCCAGTATCCAGGTTTGGGCTCTGCACAGCCTGAGGAAAATGAGGGGGGAGGGCGTTGTTTGTTAGTTCAGAGAGAAGAGGCAGGGGCAGAGGAAGGGAAGGCATTAGAGGAGGGGTCTGTGTGCTCCTCCCTGGGTTGGCTCACCAGTACTGGATGCCGGCTGTGTCCTGGGCCTGGCAGGAGGGCTCACAGTGAGCGAGAGGCTTTTTTTTTTTGGCTTGAACTCTGGGCCTGGGCGCTGTCCCTCCGCTCTTCAGCTCAAGGCTAGCACTCTACCATCTGAGCCCCAGAACTACTTCTGGTTTTCTGGTGGTTCATTAGAGATTCCTGCTCAGGCTGGCTTTGAACCGCTATCCTCAGATCTCAACCTCCTAAGTAGCTAGGATTACAGGTGTGAGCCACCAGTGCCTGGCTGAACCTGACTTAAGTAGGGACACGGACGAGCATAATTACCGAAAACACATAGTGTGTTGTGTTTCCTTGGCTTTAGACAAGTAGAAGGAAAGATGAGGGAATGGAAGGGGGTGGTTGCAAATATTATTTTGTGTGCTGGTACTTGTGGGGCTTGAATTCAGGAGTCACTGGCTATAATCCTAGCAAACTCAGGGGGTGAGATCTGAGAACTGCAGTTTGAAGCCAATTGGGGCAGGAAACTTTGTGAGACTTTTATCCACAATAGACCACCAAAAAGCTAAAAGTGGAATTGTGGCTCAAATGGCAGAGCTCCAGACTTGAGTGAAAAAGCTCGGGGACAGCGCCAAGGTGCTGAGTTCAAGTCCCAGGCAGGCATGAGAGGCCCAGATACACAAATAAGACAAGCAAATGCAAATGCATTTTAGGTACAGATAAGCAGCCTAAAGAAACATAAAAGGCTTTTGGAGTACACACTGGGTGTAAGGCCTTTTGAGAAGGCAGGCTTGGCCCCAGACTTGAAGGGAACAGATTTAAAATGGAATGAGGAGAGACAGATTGGAACCAGGGGGGAAGTTTTGCCTGTAACAGCGTGGGGCGGGGGAAGGTCTAACCTGGGGCAAATGAAAGCTCAGTTTGGCAGAGGGCAGATAAGGAATTAGGAGGGCTGGTCTGAGATCTAGAGTTAGCCCCGGGCTGAGAAGAAGTTTGAGTCATTTAGGAGTAGGCTGGTAAGGAAATGGGCTAGCCTGGGGCACAGGAAACGTTAATTTCAGGGGAGGAAATGGAGAAGAAGCCATAACAAGTTACTGTGGACACCGTGGTGGCCGGGCAGGAAGGGCTGGGAGCAGGTGTCCCACTAGAAAGAGCCCCCCTTGGCGTTCCCAAGGAGTTACTTCCTGGTGGCACCTCGCAACTCCCTCCCGCGGTCTCCGCCTGGCCAGCATCTCACCCTCAACAGGCTCCCTCGCTGCAGCGGGAGCAGCCCCGGCCTCCATGTCACGCCTCTCCGTCCCGTCCACCGCCGCCGTGGACTCCGCACAGCGATCCGCCCGCCCGCGCTCAGCCCCCACTTCCGGGTGCACCCGCTCCACTGGTCCGGTGCTGCACTGCACCCCGAGCGGTACCAAAGTTCCGGCTCCAGGGCGGACTTTCTTATTTATGCGCAAGCTCACTTTCTCCCTTGGTCTGTTGACCTTCCCAGTCAAGAAGGAATGGAGTTGAGACCCTTCGGGGTGTGCTTAATATTTGGGATGGTCGGCTGAGAGACCACTTTCCAAGACCTGGGGCTGTCTCATTTTTTTTTTTTTTGGGGGGGGGAGGGTCCGGTCGTGGGGCCTGAACTCTGGGCCTGGGCGGTCCCTCAGCTCTTCAGCTCAAGGCTAGCACTCTACCACTGAGCCACCTTCCCAGCCGTTTCATTTTTATTATTTTTTTTGCCAGTCCTGGGGCTTGAACTCTGTGCCTGGGCACTGTCCCTGAGCTTCTTTTGCTCAAGACTAGCACTCTAGCACTCTATCACTTGAACCACAGTGCCACTTCCAGGTTTTTTTCCTGTCTATGTGGTACTGAGGAATCGAACCCAGGGCTTCATGCATGCTAGGCAAGCACTCTACCACTTAGCCACATGTACAGTCTGTACATATTTGAGCTCTTTTTAGACTCCTGTGTATCTCCCATTTCTTCAGCACCTCAAGGAATATGTTGTACTAAGCCTCAGCATGCGGCTGGTGGTATCAGAAGTAGAACTTCCCACTTTGTGTGCCCAGTCTCTGGAGGAAGTCTGCAGCTGTGGAGGAGGAACAGGGGTGGCAACTGCCCTATGGGATGGGTGAGGACTCATATTCAGGGTCTGTGCCCACAGACATCTCCAGGCACCAGTGGCCAGGGCTAATGGACATGGCTGAGACCTAAAAAATGAGCAGCTGTTGGCATGAGAAGGGTCTTAGGCAGGAGACATAGGTAGACAGACATAGGTAGTTCCTTTTTTTTTTTTTTTTTTGGTCAGTCATGGGGCTTGAACTCTGGGCTTGGGTGCTATCCCTGAGCTCTTCAGCTCAAAGCTAGTGTTCTACCACTTGAACCACAGTGCCTCTTCCGGTTTTCTGGTGGCTAATTAGAGATGAGTCTCACGGATGAGTCTTCTGCCTGGGCTGACTTTGAACCATGATCCTCAGATCTCAGCCTCCTGAGTAGTTAGGATTACAGGCGTGAGCCACAGGTGCCAGGCAGGCAGTTCCTGCCCTTCAGTATGACCAGGAAAGAGGAAAGATTCTAAATTGATAGGGCAGGATTGGAGAGCCCCATAGAAGCCCAGGCTGGCCACGTATTCAGCATTCACATGCCTCCACCTTGGAGTGCTGGGACTATACACATGCACTACACTCTGCTAGACCCTTTCATAAATCTTTAGGCAAAACCCTAAAGTATGCAAATTTCCCAAGCAGAGGCCCATGGCAGTGAGAGGTTCCAAAAAGGAACAGTGATTTTTAGGAAGAACCACTGGTCTGAACTTCAGTCTGAGGGCAAAGCTGCTAAGGGTCACCAGGTGTCAGATCATGTGGACCCTCTTAAATCCTATTAAGTGGTTTTAGCTTTATCCTTCAGGACTGGGCAAGAGGATCAGAGTAAGGACTTGGGAGGAAACTGGGACTGGCTAAGAACAGAGGAAGAACTTCCTCAGTCTTACTGAGTCGTGGACAGCAACCAGTAATCCATGTGTGGAATCCACAGATGCACCAGCAGGAAGTGTCAGCAGAGGGCGCCATTGAGCAGCACCTGCCCAGAAATGGGACTTTTCCAGACTAGGGGACCCAGGCCCTCTGCCCTCATCCAGCCAACCTTGGCTTCTTATGTTCAGTTGGCTCAACCCAGCCCCCTCTTGCTTTTGCAGATTTCCAGGGCTCCCAGCTCCTAACCTGAGAACATATGCCCTGGGGACAGAGAACGGAAGTTACTAGGACAATGGCCATAGGAATGGAGGTGCCGTACAAGAGGCCTAGGAAACCTGGTGCTCACACTGCCCAGATGCTCAACGGACCCTGGCTGGTGCTCTGTGGAACTGGGGATGAGAACAGGGCTAATTACCTTGTTAGGACAAGCACCTAGCATGGATTGGCTGAGCAATGAAGCCCCTAACAACCAGCCTATATAGCACAGGAGACAGAAAGTCTGGTGCTAAGTATAAGCCCACAAGCCTTGCCCATGCCCAGGGTCAGGCGATACCTGGCGATGGCCTCCACAGAGCAGTCTGCTCCCCATCCTGTGGCCTAATCTGTGTCTGCTGTGGGCCTCATCTGTGCCTTCCACTGAAAGTGCCCCCAGAGACTTGAGCCACTTTCAGGGTCTTGAGCCTGCTTCCTTCTTCTAGGAGCTACCATCTCATTTATTCAAACAAAACAAAATGGGGCAGAAACATTTGGTAAATGTGGCGTTGTCAGGAGCTTGTTAAAACACCTGGGAGAAGGGGGAAGCAGGACTTGAGATGGATGTAGGAAAACCCTGGGCTCTGGCACTGGGGAGAGAGGTGCCCTGCCCTCCCATCTTCCCCTCACCCTCTCACCCATTTGAGCCCCCCAGAAACTACCAGGACACCTGGAAGAAAAGGTTTCAAGTTCAATAGTCACACTCTCTCCAAATACAAAAAAGCAGTTACAATTCAACCGAACAAAGAAGCTCGTGTGCAAAGTCACGGGGGACTGAGACATCGTAGAAAAAGTTAGCTTCAAGATGGTTTTGTGGTTTTGTTTTTTTTTTGTTTCGAGGGTGTGGCTCTTCCTCGGTCACCTGAACTCAGCAAAGAAATGGGTTATTTTGAAGGATCAACGCCGACCCACAGTAAAAACAGACAAATTCTAAAAATTAAAAAAAAAAAGCATAATTACCAAAAAATATGTCACTGCTTCCTCCCTCCACATTTTGCTTTTTAAACTTTTTTTTTTTAAGTTTTTGATTTTTTTTTTTAATCCTGAAAAGTAGACAGTAAAACAGCTCCTGGAAGAATTTACAACCAACTGCATGAAGGGGCTGGGCTGGGGGTGCGGACAGGCAGGTCCCCCCAGTCACTGAGACCAAGGCGGAAGGGGCACTCTTTAGTCAAAAGAGAGGGGACTTGGGAGATGGGGGGGGGGGGGGAAGAGGAGGAGGAAGAAGGGAAAGTGGAGGGGGGGGGGATAAACAGAAAATAAAAGGTCATTGTTGCCTATCTGAATCCAGAGAAAAATGCCTGGCCTGAGGAGGGCAAGAAGCCCCCTGGAGGAAGGTGGCTCAGGACGCCCCGTCCCCTCTGGAGGAAGGCAGCCCAGGACGTGCCGTCCCCTGCAGCCCAGGACCCACAGGGGTGGGGAGGGCCGGAGCAGGCGGTCGGTCAGGCAGGCAGGCAGGCGCTGGTGGAGGAGTCCTGGCCTCCGCTACTGTGTGCTGGTGCCGCCAGGTGTGCTGCCAGAGTAGCTCCCGTAGTCGTAGCTCCCATAGTATGGTGGCCACTGGCCCTGGTTCTGATAGTACTGGTTCCATTGCTGGGCGTACTGTGGACAGACAGAACACGTGAGCTCTGCCCAGCAACCTGTCTTCCCCAGGGCCCACATATGGGCACCATGGGAGGATGCATGATTGAGCCAATGCTGCATGGGGGCATTGAGGGACTGAATGGCTGGCCGGCCCAGATCTGGACACAGTCCTCAAATCAGTGAGAAGACAGCTATAGTGGGTATGGGATGTGGGGCGTGGGCCTGGGGCAGGACTCCACTGCTGACAGCCAGTGCAGATGTGTTTACATCTGGCTGAATTAGACAAGGGCTTATTTGAGGCCAGCCGGCTGCCTACCATTTTAGGGCTAAGGCAGGGCCTTCAAAGTCCTGGGGGCCCTGATTGCACTTACCTGCTGATACTGGTTATAGGCAGGCTGTGGGTAGGTCTGTGCTGTGGGAGGTGGTGGAGGGGTGTAGGGGGCTGGGTTGTAGCTGCCATAGCTCCCATAGTTGTAGGCAGGTGGCGGCGGAGGTGGAGGCGGTGGGGCTGTGTAGCCCTGGCCGTAGCCTGCCTGGCTGTAGGGTGGCTGGCTGTAACTCGGCTGCAAGTGGAGAGAAACACCAAAGCTATGAAACTGCTCCTAACTAGACTGGAGGGGATCAGCTCGGCCCTCATCTTTGAGACCCATGGGGAGCCAGGAACATGGCCTCACTTGGGAGCTGGCTTCATTTTCTTTTTTTGTCGGTCATGGGGTTTGAACTCTGGGCTTGGGCACTGTCCCTGAGCTCTTCAGCTCAAGGCAAGCACTCTAACACTTAAGCTACAGCGCCACTTCCGGTTTTCTAGTGGCTTATTGGAGATAGGAGTCTCACGATCTTTCCTGCCTGGGCTGGTTTTGAACCACGATCCTAAGATATCAGTCTCCTGAGTAGCTAGGATTACAGGGGTGAGCCACCAGCGCCCGGCTAGTTGGCTTCATTTTCTATAAAACAAGGACCACCACATACCTAGCCTTTGCCACTGCCTTGAATTTCCAACGAACTCAATAAATACTCAATAAACGCCGGTAGTGGATAGTTGAGATTTTTGGAGTGTATGGATGTGAAGCCCCGCCCAGAGGCAGCTAGAACCTCAACAAGGCACAATCATGGAGCCAAGGTCATAGAACCGAATCCCAAAGCCTTCACCGCTGTGGTACAGTGCCACGGCACCTATCAGGGCCAGTAACCCGGGGAGGCACAAGTAGGAGCCCAGGCCCCATCCCAGAAATAACAGATGGAAAAGGGCTAGAGGCATGGTTCAAGTGACAGTGTACTAGGCCTGTGAGTTCTAACTTCCCTAGTTCTAGTCCTTTGGGGGCCAGGTAAGGCTCATAGGGGGAGAATCAGCAGCCAGGGTACTGAGGGGCTAGGAGGAAGGTCTTCTGACTTCTGACATAGGAGGTGGCTGCCAGGCAGGGCTTGTGAGTATAGCCCAATGGGGTGGAGTGGTGATGTATGAGGGAAGACAAGGTCTGGCGCCAGTGATCCACCACCCAGGACATGAGTGTGCTGTGGAGGGCAGGTTGTAAGGGGAAAGCAGTTGCAGGCAAGCATGCACAG